CTCTAAGTGTCCGCAACTGCTGGAGCTGAGCTAATCTGAACCCAGGATCCAGAAGCTTCTTCTGGGTCTCCCACATGGGTGCAGGGGCCCAAGGCTCTGGGCTGTCCTTGACTGCTTTCCCAGGCCACAAACAGGGAGCTGGATGGGAAGTGGAGCAGCTGTGACACGAACTGGAGCCCATATGGGATCCTAGTGATGCAAGGCACCAACTAGGCTATTGTGTCGGGCCCAGGTTTCTTTCCTTCCTTCTCTCTATAGCACTGACTGATTTTCTTTTTTAATTAAAGACTGTGCCGACTGGAGACTGGACCTACTCACCAGGAGGAATGTGACCATGACCTACACAACGGCGTATGCTCTCGTGTAGTGGGTTAAGTTCCTGTTCAGGATGCCCCACCCTATCTGGGAGCACAGGTGTGGGTCCTGGCTACTCTGCTTCCCACCCAGCTTCCTGTCAACGCTCCTGGGAAGCAACAGCTGATGGCCCGAGTATTGCAGTTCTTGCATCCCACATGGGAGACCACAAATGGTGTTCCTGGTCTTGCTGCTGGCCTGGCCCAACCCCAGCTGTTGCAGACATTTAGGGAGAGAAACAGCAGACAGAAGATCTTTCTCTGTTTCACTTGTTCTTTGTCACTTTGCCTTTTAAATTAATAACTAACCCATAAAAAATAAATAAAAAGAAGAAAGGAAGGAAGGGAGAAAAAGAAAGAGAATGAAAGGAAGGAAGTCTGGGAGGGAGGAAGGGAGGAGTCCAGGTAAGTCTGGGCAGAGATGTGGGTGTCTGGATCCCCCAGCCAAACGGCTGTGGCTGCCAGGCCAGACTTCCTGCTGGTGATCCTAGCTCCTTGTCCACTGCTGTGGGGCGGTGGAGCGTCCTGGGCTTGCAGGTGGCCAGAGTGCCAATGGCGCAGGGCTTTGCCCACTGGCCACCCAATGACGAGTGCTGGGGTATTGAGGGTGTAGAATTACTGGCTAGGGACATCCATAAAGCCACTACATGTGTATGTAAGGACTGAATCCTGAGGGGCACCCAATGACAGGACCACTGTACCTGCAGGTAAGTGAGGGGACTGAGACCTGGTAGGTTGGAGGAAAGAAACTGGAGATCTGTATGGATCTGTACGGATGGTCAGATGCACCATCCCACTCAGCAGTCCTGAGTTGGGCTTGTTAGCATGGAATACTGCTGACCACCACATACCATTCTATATGAAAGCTAGGGTTGGGAGACAGTTTAGCAGGGATAGATCCTAGTTCCTGACTGAAATTTGAAACAGGGGATGGGTCAGGCAGGACCATGGCAGTAACCAGCATATCAGAGAACCAGGTCCAGGATTAGCTTCTGTGGGGAATATGTGGGCCCAGCCCTGAGGAAATACAAATCCTGCTGGTTAGCTCAAGAGTTGGTGTAGTGATGCGATGTAGTTAGGCGTGACCATGGAATCTACCAACACTCACCAGTACAAGGACTAAGACTAAGCTGGTAAGGTCCAGGCTGCAGCACCCTATGTGCATTCTAAAACAGGGTGTGGGGTGGGCTGGGCCACAACATTCACCAGCTTATACTAGGCCAAGATGGAGGAGCAGGCTATGCCGGACAAGAGCCTAGCACCCGCTGGTATGTGTGAGATCTGGGTCTGGGAGTGGGCCGAGTGGGGGAACCTGGAAAATTCCCCTAGTTGGTCATAGCTTCGGCTGCTAAGCATGTGGTCCAGGCCTGAGGGTCAGGCAGTCTGGGCATGGTAGCTCCAACTGTCACCAAATGTGCGGGTTGGTTTTGGAAGGGGACGGACCAGGCAGGGCTGAACAAGGCCAAGCAAACCTTAGTTCACTGGAAACTACAGAAATCAAGCTGGAGCACAGGTCATGCCAAGCTAGGCTGTCATACCTACCAGTCTGCATGAGCCAGGAATGGGAGCAGACTGAGCAGGCCCAGGTTCCAGCACCTGCCAACAAGAGTTAGGACTGGGGGCAGGCTGGGTTAGGCCAGGCTACAGCATCCAAAGGCAAAGGCCAAGACAGGGGAGGGACTATGCCAAGCTGGGTCAGAGCAACCACTGGCACACCCAAGATCTATGGCTGGAAACAGGCCTGGTTGGGGAGAAAAGGGGAAATCCTGGCTGGACTGTGGTCGCCACTGGCGAGTGCAAAGGCCACAGTAGAGGCTGCTGTCTAGTGTGGACATGGCTGCAGTATCCCTTGGCACAAGTGTGGCCTGGGTCTGGGGTGCACCAGACTGGACCTGTTGGTGCTTGTGAGAACCAGGGTGGGTATAGGACGGATTAGGCTAGGTCTCTGCCCCTAGTGAGCCATGTGTGAGCTGTGTCTGGGTATGGACCAGGCTTGGCTGGGCTGTAACACCCAACAGTAAAAACTGGAATGGGTGAAGGTCAGTCAGGAAAGGCCACTGTTCCTGCTAGGACAGGAGGTGGACTAAGTAGGGCTGGCCCATGGACCCACCAATGGGCACGAGATCTGGCATTGGGAGAAGTTCTGATGGAGGAGCTTGGGAAACTCCTCTGTAGGGACACAGCCCCTGCAGGTGAGTGCACGAAAGAAGAAAGGGAAAGAGAACAGTCCTGTTCAGGCCAGGTTATGGTACCCACTGGCATACATCTGGCGCAGGTTGGGGATGAATTAGGCTGGGCTAGTTCATACTACCTGCTGGCAGATCCAAGCACCAGAATGGGGTGTGGGTCAGGACAGGTTGGGCTGCAACACACGCCAGTTCACATGAGCACTAAGACTGAGCCCGCCTGGGTTGGGCTAGGCTGTAGCCCTCACCAGCGTTAGCTGAAACTGGGGGTGGGCTGGGCCTGGTTCAGCTACAACACCACTGGCAAATGCCAAGGTGAGGCAGGCCATGCCAGACTAAGCTGCAGCACCCAACCAGCACCATGTGAGACCTGGGGGGAAGGGCTGAACCTTGTAGGGGGTTGCATGGGACTCCCCTCCTGGACCACCACTCCCAGTGGTGAGTGTGAGAGTTGCAATGGGGGCAGACCAGGCTGGACAGAGCTACAACACCTGTTGGCCTCATGTGAGCTGGATCAGGGGAAAGCCAGGCTGGGCTGACTGTTCCTATTTGCAGGGGGCAAATACTGTCAAGTCAAACTGCAGAACCACCTGGAGAGTACAAGATCCTGGAGTGGGAGTGGGCCCATTAGAGAAACAGCGGGCACCTCCCTCTTGGATTGCCACCCCGTCTGGTGAGCATGAGAACCAGGACTAGGGGCAGGCAAGACTAGAGAGACAGTGACACCCACTCGCACATGTATGGACTGGATAATGGGGCTAGCTGGGTTGAACTAGGCTTCAATACCTATTGACATGTATGAGAGCTGAATGGGATGTGAGACAAACTGGACCAGTCTGCTGTACATACTGGCAAGCATGGGAATCAGGGCAGGGGGCAGGCCTGGTGGGGGTCATTGTGGGTCGCTCCAACTAGTTTCCACTGGTTTGCGTGAGGACCAAGTGTGTGGTGGGCAGGATTGGACTGGGCTGCAGCACCCATTGGTTTGTATAGAAGACAGGGCTGGAGACAGAACTGACCCAGCAATTGCAATCACCAGCATGTGCTGATTGGGGTGATAGACTGTGCTGGACCCTGTATTGGCAAGCACACACAAGAATCAGGTCTGGAATCACCTCAGATGAAGTTTCTTTGGGGATTCCCCTAACTGAATTGCTGGACTCAGAACCCCAATCATGGAGAAAATTGCAGGTTCCATGGTCTGACCGTGGAGTGCATATGTCAGAGCTGGGCCTCCTCAGTGGCTTAGAGCAGTGGACAGCATATCCAGGTGCACATGGAAGACATGGCAGTACACTGGAGTCTGCAGAAGACCGAGGACAGAACAAATCCATTAATTACCCAAGTCAAGAGTTGGCAGTGAATACCTGGGCAAATGGAGACTCTAAGGTAGACTATGTCAATCAGTGGATTCTGGAGAGATTTCATCGTGCTTGGAGTGGCGAGATCAGTAGTAATTCAGAACTGTTGAATTATCAAAACCTCATGAGCAGGACCCTCAGAGCATGCCCCACATCGGGGACCCTGGGGTGGTGTTGGGTGGCTGTCCTCCATCCCAGGGTGCAGAGGCATTTGGGAGGCTGGGTGTGGCTTCTCCCCTCTCTCCCCCAATCCCTCAGAAACGGGAAGGTAAAAAAGAGAATGTGGAAATAATGGACTCACCCACATTCCTGTAGCCCTTGGCCCTTACTACCTAATAAACTATGTAAAAATCATCAGAAAAATGATAAAACTTTAAAAATTAAAGAGAGAGAGGGGAGAGGGGGACATGGAAGGAAGGCAGGGGAGGGAAAATGAAATTAAGCCCAAGTGGGCTTGTCACTGCGTGCAGCCAGTGTCCAACACCTGTGAGAAGGCCAGAAGAGGCATACGACCATCACAGCCGGTGACTGGGCCCCGGCAATGAAACCCGGAGCCAAGGACACCAGGCTGAGGGACTGCAGTGTGCTCCTGGCAACTTTGCCAAATGGCAACGGCAGCTTCATCAGTCAGCAAGATGAGACAGAGGCCAAGGTAGCCAAGCAGAGCATTAAGAAGTTTCCAGCATGGCTTAGGACATACATGCAAATGCCTTCAACATCACATCCTGCTCTGCTAGCAGCCGGGGTTTTGGTCCACCTGTCGGAAGGTAATGGCGCACACAGAGACAGGCTGAAGTCTGGGCTGTGCACCGTGATGGACGGCGCTGGGGGACTCGGAGCGCACTCCAGCTCTCGGGCGCCGGTGTGCGTTCCAGCTCTTCCACCACCCACGTGACCGTCCCCACAGGGGCTCACGATGACCTCCAGTGTGAGGACAAAAGGCTCAAGAGAGGGGCACGAACTTGGCCTGGTGGTCCCAACGTCTGTGTCCTCCCTAAGTCCACCTGGGTTTGAGTTTTGACTCTGCTTGCTGTGAAAGCAGGCCCTGGAGGCAGCGCCGACGGCTGAGGTGGTGGGCCCTGGCAGCCAGGCGCGAGACCTGGACGGAGCCTGCTCCAGCTTCTGCCCAGCCAGGGCAGTGATCTGAGATGTGACACACATTTCTGCTCGCTCCCTTTCTCATAAACAAACTTTCAAAGAGGTTTTGAAAGCTTAAAGGAAGACACGGATGGAAAAGAACATTGCAAAATATAAGTACTTACCTATAAGCATTTATATAATCTTTCCTGTGTTCCAGAAGAAAATCTCTCAGTTTGCCAATATGTGAAATCTAAAAATTGAAAAAGAAAGCAAGCACTTTACAGATGCTGGTACATTACATCCAAAACTTCATATATAATGACTTCTACATTAACAGACTGGAATGCAAGCTGGAAAAAGGTTTGGAAGCTACAAATCAAGCAACTTTAGCTTAAGACTGTCACATAGAGCTCAACCTGTGTATTCCTGGGCCTTGGCCTCCTTCCCATGGCTCCTTTTCCCTCTGTGTGCTATGATCGTGAAGCAAGGAGCTGAGAGACCAAACAGTGCATGTCAACTACCTGCTGGCACCTGCTGTTCAGCGACAGCCAATCATGTTCCAAGGTGTCTTGCACCTGACCTTTTACAGACAATTATTCCCTCTGCCCAGTGTTCTAGAGGATGCAGTCTAAGGCAGAGCACAGGGCTGAGACCAGGGACCACAACAGTAACATCCCAAGGCCAGAGCCATGGGGCTCACACAGGCCCCGCAGGGCACAGGGCTGAGACCAGGGACCACGACAGTAACATCCCTACACAACAAACACCCGTTTTCCCCACACACACAGGGATGGGTCCAAAGCTTTGCACCTACTGTGAGCACGGCTGGAGGTGAAAAGCTACATGAAACAAAGAGGCAGGAAGAAAGCCCGGATCAGGGCTGCAGCACCAGAGGCCAGTCACACCGCCGGCACGGGCTCTGCCGTCTGAGCAAGGCGCACTGGGGCTTCTGACACACACCCTTCGTGCTAATGGAGAACACACGTGGCACAGCCTGGAACGGTCTGTGGAACTCCCACCTCTCCCGTCTTAAGTGTTTCTGTCCAGGCCAACCCAGGCTAATTTTCATTTTGTTCTCAATTTAGAAAACCTTCTGAACAATGCACATTTGTAACTACTGTTAAAAATGAGGTTCTAAAAAATAGCCTAAGAAATTTTAAAAGCCCAATTCAAACAAAGAATTGAAGAATGGCCCCAATGTGCAGGTAACGGTAACAATGGGTGCCCGGACGGGCAGTCCAAGGCGACTGTCCCTGTCCTCGTGAGCAGCCTGCAGGACAAGCCACACGGGTGCCAGGGACGTGTCTGCGACAAGCTGGGGTCCAAGCCGAGGACCAAGCGTCGGGATTCAGCAGGCTTCCCAGGACCCCACGCCTGCTTTCCTCACACACCTGCTTCTTCCTACAAAAGCCCCATCAGGATCAAAAGGAATTTTCAGTAAGAAGTGATATATGATTACTGTCTTAATGATAACATAATTTAATACATAACAAGAATACCCTGTATCAAACAATATTATAAACAATATTATAAAGGCCAAGAATGAAAAGAAACAAAAGAGCCTTGAGCTTTGTGTAAACATCTGAGAGCGATGAGCGCTTCAGATCTCCGAAAACCTATGCCCAGAAGCCAGGGGCCGCCGTGGGTAGCATGCCAACCTCCCCCTGCAGCACCAGCATCCCGCATGGGCACTGGTTCATGTCCCAGCTGCTGCACTTCTGATGCACTTCCACGCCTTTTTCTTTTTTTTTTTTTTTAATAATTGGAAAGGCAGCTGAGACCACAGAAGGGAGAGAAAGAAAGATCTTCCATCTGCTTGTTCAAACCCAAATGACTGCCAATGGCTGGAGCTGAGCCAACCTGAATCCAGGAGCCTCCGCCGGGTCTCCCACACAGGTGCAGAGGCCCAAGGCTTTAAGCCAGCCTCTGCTGCTTTTCCAGACCACAATCAGGGAGCTGGGTCGGAAATGGCGTAGCCAGGACACAAACTGGCACTCATGGCGGCAGTAGACCCCTGCTGCCTGAACGGACCCACTGGCATACCCGAGCCCGCCACAGGTGACAGGTGACTGTCAGGGATGACTGATTACACAGGTCTCCCACAGCCCAACCTTGAGGTCTCTTTCCTGTTAGGCTCAGCGCTGTGTTTCAGAGTAAGCTGCCAGACAGCCTACATACTCCGCTCCAATTCTGGTGGCCAGTGACACTCGGAGAGGCTGGGGGTTGTATACTTTGGGCTTGGGCTGTCTCCATGGAGAGTACAAATGTTCAAAGTCACTGATGGGGTCAAGGAGGAGTACACGTGCAGTGAACGAGAAGGCCTGTGCTTCTGGTAGGGCAAAGGCCATTCTACTGTAAACTGCTGAGGAAATCAGTTACAGGGAAAATGCTTTTGCCCTCTGATGATGTAAAGAGTGACCGGGCAGAGCCCGTGAGCAGCAAGGGTGCCTCCATGGGACGAGGTGGGTGAAGGTCAAGGACGGGACACGGAGGGCAGTGTCTGGGGGGCACCCTGCGGGTGTGGACAGCAGGAGGGACACACCACTGTCCCTGCACCGCCAAGCCTTCTCTGTCCCAGCCCATCGTCTCTGGAGAACCCGGGGACTCCTCCGCGTTGTGCCATCCCACCAACATCACTTCAGTTTGGTACCTGCCATGTGAAGAAAGATTGGTCTGCAAATGCATCCTTCCTACACCCTCCTCCCACTTCAGCTTAGGGCCCGAGAGGTCACGCCCTCTGCCCCGTTCACTTCCGCATTCTGAGCAGTACCACAGGGGAAAGGGCAGGAGGAGCAAATGTGTGGTGGTCGCGGAGCGGGTAGAGCCAAAAAGACTGCAAGATCCGTAAATCCCTACGCTCCCACTGCTCCAACAGCACTGCTGGCTGCGCATCCACAGCACAGGGAGCAACCGGCCAGCTACTGTTACAGGCAGGCAGCTGTGGAGAAGTGGCGTGAGGGCTGCTCGGAAGGCACAGGTCCACTGGATCCACCGTGTCCAATCTAGACTGCGCTCCAGCGGGCTTCCCGGGAGCTGACCTCACCAGTGGCGCCCCGCCCACGGGACAGCTGGCCTGCCCGAAGAGTCCTCATCAGTGGGCCACATTTGCTTCACTGCCACAGCCACGTCAGTGTGTCCCCAGGGACAAAGAACAGAGCAGCCTGGAGTTGTGACACAAACCAGAGCTTACAGTTAGAGCTGAACTGTAACCGACAGAGGACAGGAACAAGGGGAGGACACAACGATTCGTGAATACAGCTTTTGGCCAGTCAATGTCTCATCCAGATCTGACCACCGCCCGAGGAGTGCTCTCCATCCTGGCAAGCAACCGAGCCCGGGGGGTGTCGGCAGCCACAGGGGATCCACACCTCTAACAAGCCGAGCCAGCACAAATGCCGTTACCGGAGACGGCCCTAACCCAACTCACGACCATGTTGGTGTTTTCAGTTTCGTTTTTATATTAATGTCATTTCAACCCATTTGTTATTAAAGAATCTCACACTTATATAATAATAGGGCCAGCACTGTAGCATGGTAGCCCAAGCCACTGCCTGCAGTGCCAGCATCCCCTATGGGTTCTTCTTGGCATTTCGGCTGCTCTCATCCAATCCAGCTCCTTGCTAACGGAACCCCAAGTCCTTGGGACCCTTTTTCCACACCAAAGACCCAGATGAAACTCCTGGATCCTAACTGTGGCTTGGCCCAGCTCTTGTTGCAGCCACTGGGGGAGTAAACCAACTGACAGAAGATCTCTCTCTCCCCACCCCAGCACTCTTTCAAATAGAGCTTTTAAAAATTACAATGAAAATTTTAAAATATTTATTTAATGTATCTGAAAGGCGGTGATGGTGGGGCCCGGGGGGCAGTATACCTCCCATGCATCCCCCCTCAGGGCTGTCGGGAGCCCAGGGACTTAGGCATCCCGGGCGCAACAGCAGAAGCTGGAGGAGAAGCGGAGCACGGGACTCGCACTGGCACTGACAGGGGACGCCGCTGTCGTAAGCGGCAACTCAGCCTGCTGAGCCAGGACACTGTCCCCCCAGCTTATCTAAGCGGAATCATGATACTATGTATTACAATTATGTTTTTGTTTCTTTGTTTTTAGAATCCTAATCTTTTGTTGGAGAAAGATAACAAATGAAGGAATATAAAGTTGGATATCTTCGAAATTCCCAAAGCTGTCCTTTGTTCTTTCAACATGCTGACTCCTTTGAGGTGTGGATATTCTGCTAATAAATCAGTGGTAATTCACACGTAAACCAAGACGCAATCTCTGCTTAAATTCCACCAGTCAAGAGCAACACCGCCTCAAAAAAACTCAACAAAACCTTCCTTGAGAATTCTGACTCTGCCTGCATGAGTTCATGTACTTTTCCCAGGGACAGTCATACTACCATGCCTGTTCCATGGAGGAGAAAACCGAGTTAGATAAGGAGCAACTCGCGCAGCAACACCATGGCTGAAGCCTGGATCAAGCCCAGGCAGTCTAAACACCAGGGCTGAGTTCCCAACCAGCAGACTTGCAGATTCCTGGCAGCCAGGACGCAGTTTTCCGGTCTGAGGTTTGCAGCCGATGACCGGGAGCTGAGCAAAGCAGCCCGAGCAAGCAGCAGCCGCACGCTGCTCCTGTCTGGGTGTTGCCCTCACCACACCCCACAGACTGCACCGTGCCAACAGTGAGCACCAGCCCTGGGTGCTGGGCAGGGTGCCACCTGCTACACATGTGAGCCCCAAGCTGCAACACTCACAGGAATCAGATGTTCTCCCCAGGTCCAGTCAATGCGCTTCAACAAAGAGGTTCCTGCAGGGGTGCACGACCCAGAAGCAGCAGGAGTGGGATCAACGACAGGCCTAAAGCACTCCAAGGTGAGGCAGCCATCAATACTGTCGTCAAACTGATCAACACGACGAGTATTTACCCAAGTTTGGGTTTTTCCTTATAGAAACATAAATTGGGCTTCCGATCAGAATATGTGCATGCCTGAGTCCTGCCCTCAAGGGCCGAGGACTGGCCAGGCCGCGAGGCTGTGCAGCATGGTCCACAGAAAGCCTGGCAGGGGCAGTTCATTCTGAGCAGCAGTGAGCAAGTACAACAAACAGGGCGGGAGGAAGTGGAGAGAGGCCCCTCTTAGAGTGCATCCACTCTGAATCTTAGGACAGGGGCAGGCGGACGGGACCCACAGGGCAAACCACTGTGTGGGGTCTGAGCAGAAATTTAAGGGGCTGGCCATGACTGCGGGCTCTCTACCC